AATGGGTACCTGGGTGTTAGTCGACTGGTGTGGGTCACATCCTGGGGACATAATTGACCTAATTTGCCCGAAATGCTCTGCATAACAAGTTGCTTTCTATATATTAGTATGTTACTGATGTAAGCTAGGCCTGTATACCTTGTTTACCTGGAGTTTACCTGGAGAGAGTTTCGGGGGTCAACGCCCCCGCGGCCCGGTCTGTGACCAGGCCTCCTGGTGGATCAGCGCCTGATCAACCAGGCTGTTGCTGCTGGCTGCACGCAAACCAACGTACGAGCCACAGCCCGGCTGATCAGGAACTGACTTTAGGTGCTTGTCCAGTGCCAGCTTGAAGACTGCCAGGGGTCTGTTGGTAATCCCCCTTATGTGTGCTGGGAGGCAGTTGAACAGTCTCGGGCCCCTGACACTTATTGTATGGTCTCTTAACGTGCTAGTGACACCCCTGCTTTTCATTGGGGGGATGGTGCATCGTCTGCCAAGTCTTTTGCTTTCGTAGTGAGTGATTTTCGAGTGCAAGTTCGGTACTAGTCCCTCTAGGATTTTCCAGGTGTATATAATCATGTATCTCTCCCTCCTGCGTTCCAGGGAATACAGGTTTAGAAACCTCAAGCGCTCCCAGTAATTGAGGTGTTTTATCTCCGTTATGCGCGCCGTGAAAGTTCTCTGTACATTTTCTAGGTCCGCAATTTCACCTGCCTTGAAAGGTGCTGTTAGAGTGCAGCAATATTCCAGCCTAGATAGAACAAGTGACCTGAAGAGTGTCATCATGGGCTTGGCCTCCCTAGTTTTGAAGGTTCTCATTATCCATCCTGTCATTTTTCTAGCAGATGCGATTGATACATGTACATGTACTTCTAGAAATAAAGATTATTATTATTATTATTATTATTATTATTATTATTATTATTATTATTATTATTATTATTATTATTGTTATTATTATTATTATTATTATTATTATTATTATTATTATTATTATTATTATTATTATTATCATTATTATTATTTTTATTATTATTATCACACTGGCCGATTCCCACCAAGGCAGGGTGGCCCGAAAAAGAAAAACTTTCACCATCATTCACTCCATCACTGTCTTGCCAGAAGGGTGCTTTACACTACAGTTTTTAAACTGCAACATTAACACCCCTCCTTCAGAGTGCAGGCACTGTGCTTCCCATCTCCAGGACTCAAGTCCGGCCTGCCGGTTTCCCTGAACCCCTTCATAAATGTTACTTTGCTCACACTCCAACAGCACGTCAAGTATTAAAAACCATTTGTCTCCATTCACTCCTATCAAACACGCTCACTCATGCCTGCTGGAAGTCCAAGCCCCTCGCACACAAAACTTCCTTTACCCCTCCCTCCGAGGCAGCTACGGTGAAAAGCTCTGTTCCACAGGGCACAGTACTCGCTCCCATCTTGTTCCTCATCCTCATATCCGACATAGACAAGGATGTCAGCCACAGCACCGTGTCTTCCTTTGCAGATGACACCCGAATCTGCATGACAGTGTCTTCCATGGCAGACACTGCAAGGCTCCAGGCAGACATCAACCGAATCTTTCAGTGGGCTGCAGAAAACAATATGAAGTTCAACGATGAGAAATTTCAATTACTCAGATATGGTAAACACGAGGAAATTAATCTTCATCAGAGTACAAAACAAATTCTGGCCACAAAATAGAGCGAAACACCAACGTCAAAGACCTGGGAGTGATCATGTCGGAGGATCTCACCTTCAAGGACCATAACATTGTATCAATCGCATCTGCTAGAAAAATGACAGGATGGACAATGAGAACCTTCAAAACTAGGGAGGCCAAGCCCATGATGACACTCTTCAGGTCACTTGTTCTATCTAGGCTGGAATATTGCTGCACTCTAACAGCACCTTTCAAGGCAGGTGAAATTGCTGACCTAGAAAATGTACAGAGAACCTTCACGGCCCGCATAACGGAGATAAAACACCTCAATTACTGGGAGCGCTTGAGGTTCCTGAACCTGTATTCCCTGGAACGCAGGAGGGAGAGATACATGATTATATACACCTGGAAAATCCTAGAGGGACTAGTACCGAACTTGCACACGAAAATCACTCACTACGAAAGCAAAAGACTTGGCAGACGATGCAACATCCCCCCAATGAAAAGCAGGGGTGTCACTAGCACGTTAAGAGACCATACAATAAGTGTCAGGGGCCCGAGACTGTTCAACTGCCTCCCAGCATACATAAGGGGGATTACCAATAGACCCCTGGCAGTCTTCAAGCTGGCACTGGACAAGCACCTAAAGTCGGTTCCTGACCAGCCGGGCTGTGGCTCGTACGTTGGTTTGCGTGCAGCCAGCAGCAACAGCCTGGTTGATCAGGCACTGATCCACCAGGAGGCCTGGTCACAGACCGGGCCGCGGGGGCGTTGACCCCCGGAACTCTCTCCAGGTAAACTCCAGGTAAATCTTTCCTAGGCCGACCCCTACCCCGCCTTCCTTCCACTACAGACTGATACACTCTTGAAGTCACTCTCGCTCCATTCTCTCTACATGTCCGAACCACCTCCACAACCCTTCCTCAGCCCTCTGGACAACAGTTTTGGTAATCCCGCACCTCCTCCTAACTTCCAAACTACGAATTCTCTGCATTATATTCACACCACACATTGCCCTCAGACATGACATCTCCACTGCCTCCAGCCTTCTCCTCGCTGCAACATTCATCACCCATGCTTCACACCCATATAAGAGCGTTGGTAAAACTATACTCACATACCTTCCCCTCTTTGCCTCCAAGGACAAAGTTCTTTGTCTCCACAGACTCCTAAGTGCACCACTCACCCTTTTCCCCCTCATCAATTCTATGATTCACCTCATCTTTCATAGACCCAACCGCTGACACGTCCACTCCCAAATATCTGAATACATTCACCTCCTCCACACTCTCTCCCTCCAATCTGATATCCAATCTTTCATCACCTAATCTTTTTATCCTCATAACCTTACTCTTTCCTGTATTCACTTTTAATTTTCTTCTTTTGCACACCCTACCAAATTCATCCACCAATCTCTGCAACTTCTCTTCAGAATCTCCTAAGAGCACAGTGTCATCAGCAAAGAGCAACTGTGACAACTCCCACTTTATGTGTGATTCTTTATCTTCTAACTCCACGCCTTTTGCCAAGACCCTCGCATTTACTTCTCTTACAACCCCATCTATAAATATATTAAACAACCATGGTGACATCACACATCCTTGTCTAAGGCCTACTTTTACTGGGAAACAATTTCCCTCTTTCCTACATACTCTAACTTGAGCCTCACTATCCTCGTAAAATCTCTTCACTGCTTTCAGTAACCTACCTCCTACACCATACACCTGCAACATCTGCCACATTGCCCCCCTATCCACCCTGTCATACGCCTTTTCCAAATCAATAAATGCCACAAAGACCTTATCTAAATACTGTTCACTTATATGTTTCACTGTAAACACCTGGTCCACACACCCCCTACCTTTCCTAAAGCCTCCTTGTTCATCTGCTATCCTATTCTCCGTCTTACTCTTAATTCTTTCAATAATAACTCTACCATACACTTTACCAGGTATACTCAACAGACTTATCCCCCTATAATTTTTGCACTCTCTTTTGTCCCCTTTGCCTTTATACAAAGGAACTATGCATGCTCTCTGCCAATCCCTAGGTACCTTACCCTCTTCCATACATTTATTAAATAATTGCACCAACCACTCCAAAACTATATCCCCACCTGCTTTTAACATTTATATCTTTATCCCATCAATCCCGGCTGCCTTACCCCCTTTCATTTTACCTACTGCCTCACGAACTCTCCCCACACTCACAACTGGCTCTTCCTCACTCCTACAAGATGTTATTCCTCCTTGCCCTATACACGAAATCACAGCTTCCCTATCTTCATCAGCATTTAACAATTCCTCAAAATATTCCCTCCATCTTCCCAATACCTCTAATTCTCCATTTAATAACTCTCCTCTTCAATTTTTAACTGACAAATCCATTTGTTCTCTAGGCTTCCTTAACTTGTTAATCTCACTCCAAAACTTTTTCTTATTTTCAACAAAATTTGTTGATAACATCTCACCCACTCTCTCATTTGCTCTCTTTTTACATTGCTTCACCATTCTCTTAACTTCTCTCTTTTTCTCCATATACTCTTCCCTCCTTGCATCACTTCTACTTTGTAAAAACTTCTCACATGCTAACTTTTTCTCCCTTACTGCTCTCTTTACATCATCATTCCACCAATCGCTCCTCTTCCCTCCCGCACCCACTTTCTTGTAACCACAAACTTCTGCTGAACACTCTAACACTACATTTTTAAACCTACCCATACCTCTTCGACCCATTGCCTATGCTCTCATTAGCCCATCTATCCTCCAATAGCTGTTTATATCTTACCCTAACTGCCTCCTCTTTTAGTTTATAAACCTTCACCTCTCTCTTCCCTGATGCTTCTATTCTCCTTGTATTATTATTATTATTATTATTATTATTATTATTATTATTATTATTATTATTATTATTATTATTATATTTATTATTATTATTATTATTATTATTATCTTGTCCACTTCAGCAGCCAAATCTAATCTAAGAGTGTTGGGTATTGGGTTCATACGGTCTGCGAGCCGTCGCAACCCTTCAACCCAACATCAATTAAAATAAACATGTTCATATTAACAAACATTAGCAAGTTCAATGAAAACCATTTAAAAAAAAAATTAATCGATCAATTTAAAAGTAACTAAGACATAAAATACGATAGATAATAGAGTAAAATATATACTTTAAGTTGGGCCGGCTATTGTACTGTATGAAATACGTCTTATGCTATGAGGAAAATTACCAAATTATAATTAAAATTCCTTCCAACAATTAAAAATGCTATTAAAAAGTACGAAAATCCTGTATTTTTATGATTAAATCATACTACTTATCTAAACTTCAACTAAACTTGCGTAAAATATGTCACTTTTATCTATTGCGTGAGTGGTATTTAAGAGAAGATCAGCTGTTGGGTGAAACATCAACAACAGAATCTTTTTCCATCAACAATGGCAACAGCACATTACAGGGACGTTTCGCCCTTCTTGCGATTAGTTCGCAAGACGCTCATGGGTGTAGGTTTATCAGTCTCTCTTGTTGAAGTTTATTGTAAATGGGTTTTGGCGATTTATTTATCTTTTTAAGCAAGGTTCCTTGATGCTTGGGAGGGCTCTTGATCCAAGGAGTTACACCCTGAAGGGTTTTTTGATGCCAAGGAGGGACTTGATCCAAGATATTAAACTCAAAGGGAGGTTACTTGATGCGTGGGAGAGGCTCTTGATCCAAGGAATTAAACCCAAAGGGTGGATTACTTGATGCCCGGGATGGGCTCTTGATCCAAGGAATTAGACAAGGGAGGGTTCTTGATGTCAGGGAGGGGCTCTTTGTCCAAGGAATTAGACAAGAGAGGTTCCTTGATGCCAGGGATGGTCTCTTGATTCAAGGAATTAAACTGAATGGAGGTTTCTGAATGTCAGGAAGGGCTCTTGATCCAGGGAATAGACCTTGTCTTCGCCTTCCTTGGGTAGGACCATATCCCTCAGGTACTGTGAGATCCCTATGGGTTTAGTGCTTCCCCATGAATAAAATAATTATGAATAGTAATTATAATATAAATAAAATCATATCTTTTATGAAGTTTTTACCAGGTATGATTTATTATTTATTAGTTTCATAAAAGTTTTTTATGAAACTACAGAATTATCTACTTATTTATGAGAGTTCAGTACCATCAAAATAAAATACAGTAAGTCCTCGACTTACAAACATTGAGAATCTCCTGTATTGTGTATATCATTATTATATTGTGTATATGTAATATCATTATTATATTATTGTGTATAATATCATTATTGTGTATATGTAATATTATTATATTGACTCACGAAATCATAATGACACGATTGCAAACAAACCATACCACAGACGGGGATAGAACCCACGATCAGAGAGTCTCATTTGAGACTCTCTGATCGCAGGTTCTATCCCCGTCCATGGTATGGATTATTATATTATTGTGTATAATGTCATTATATCATTATTGTGTATAATATCATTATTATTAAGCAATACAGAAGGTCCCAGTGTGTTCATAGTTGAAGATTTTCTGTAGTATGAATATGATACACAACTAAGGAGGTCCCCAGTATACTTGTAAACCAAGGACTTACTGTAATGGCAGGTAACAAGTTCAGCTCACACCTGAAATACCTGGGTTCTATAGAGGGTAGGTTGAGATATAAGTTTTTATTTAGGCTTTAAAAATTATTAAAATTTACAGTGATTTTTGAGGGCACAAAGGTAGTTTGTTATGGAGATTAGCATAGGAAAACCTACAAAATAGCCATTTTCACTGGGGTCGTTAGTACGGGCAAGTCTAACATCTGCTTCCTTGGTTTACCATGTTTTAAATTTTAATAAAAAATATATTACTATATAAAAGAATAAATACAGTGGACCCCCGCCTTACGATATAATTTCATTCCAGAAGTATATTCAGGTGCCGTTACCGAACGAATTTGTTCCCATAAGGAATATTGTGAATTAGATTAGTCTGTTTCAGACCCCCAAAAATACACGTACAAAAGCACTTACATAAATACACTTACATAATTGGTCGCATTGGAAGCTGATCGTAAGGTGGGGGTCCACTGTAGTTTCCATTTACAGCTGGTCTTTTACAATAAACAAATAACCCACACGTAGAAGAAAGAAACTTTTGACGACATTTCAGTTCGGACTCTGTGTGATTAGTTAATGGTCCAGGTTGGACCAAAATGTCATCGTAAGTTTCTTTCTCCTACATGCGGTTTATTTGTATAATGTTCCAGTCACGGTATTGTGCCTTTTATTCTTTTGATCTCTTACAGTTCTCCAAGAAACTATAAATGAGCAGTTATAGGTTTGGCTGTGATGTGAGGGCTGTGTGCCTTTGAATGCTGTTCAATATGTGTATACTAAATGTATGTAATAGTTTAAGATTTATCTGTCATCCTACTTGTTCACAAAACAAAGAAAAGATTAGCAATCCTGCCAGAGAGCAACAAAATTAACAGACTTCCATTTCATATTCACTTGACAGGACATTAATACAGTGGACCCCCGATATTCGATGCATTTTAACGCAAAAATTTTGCCTCGGTATCCGATTGAAAACCCGGTATTCGATACGATTTGTACGAGACGTGTCCACATGTGGCCTGAACTGCCCCTTGTGTGCCAGTGTTTACAAGCCAGCCAGTGTGCGCGCATCTAAGGATACATTCGGTACATTCCATATTATCCATATTATCACTGTTTTTGGTGCTTGTTTCTGCAAAATAAGTCACCATGGGCCCCAAGAAAGCTTCTAGTGCCAACCCTGTGGTAAAAAGGGTGAGAATTAGTATGGAAATTAAGAAAGATTTTGAAGGGTTTGGGGCTAACCCTGAGAAGCCTATGCCAGTTGTGGGATCCATTGTGCATACTTCAAAAATTAAGGAAATGTGTGCACAGTGGGTTGAACTGCAAACCTTTATGGATGAAAATCACCCTAACACAGCTATTGCAAGCCGTGCTGGTGACTATTACAATGACAATGTTGTGGCCCATTTTAGACAAATCGTAAAGGAACGGGAGGTACAGAGCTCTATGAACAGATTTGTTGTGCGACAGAGGTCCAGTGACTCTCAAGCTGGTCCTAGTGGCATTAAAAGAAGGGAAGTAACCCCGGAAAAGGACTTGCTACCTCAAGTCCTAATGGAAGGGGATTCCCCTTCTAAACACTAACATCATCCACACTTTCCCCTCCTCCCATCCCATCAATCATCACCAGATCTTCAATAAAGGTAAGTGTCATGTAACTGTGCATGTCTTCTTCAGTTTGTGTGTATTAAAATTAATATTTCATGTGGTAAAAAAAAATTTTTTTCATACTTTTGGGTGTCTTGCACGGATTAATTTGATTTCCATTATTTCTTATGGGGAAAATTGATTCGCTTTTCGATATTCGATGAGCTCTCAGGAACGGATTAATATCGAATACCGGGGGTCCACTGTACTGTACCTGCCTGGATGGTTCCTGTCTGTTATTACACTTAATAAAAGCAAAATAAAAAAAATTAATAGACAGCAATTTCTTATATATACTGTACCTTTATTTTCCTATGTATTTCTTATAGTTGTTAATCCTGCGATTTTTTCCAGTGTACGAGGCTTGATCTGAGATCAGGTCGTGGAGAAAGCATACAATCCCCAGAACCACTAACGGATAACAGATATTTAAGTTGAATAAATGATTGCTTGCATATATGACTATATATATGAGAATTAATTTAGGACCCCAATGGAAATAAGTCAGTCTGACATTATTTGATTATCATGTTAAATACACATAATGTACCATTGTTGCATGCCTGAAACATCTATGTACCCTTATAACCATTGTATAAATTTACACTACTGTCCATAAAATGCGTCGAGTCTCCTAAATAAAGAATATTACAGGAAATATTAGGTTGGTAGACAGCAACCACCCAGGGAAGTACTACCGTCCTGCCAGATGACTGTGAAACAAAAACCTGTAACTGTTTTGCATGATGGTAGGATTGCTGGTTTCTTTATCTGTCTCATAAACACGCTAAGATAACAGGGATATCTTGCTACTCCTACTTACACTTTGGTCACACTTCATAGACACGCACATGCATATATATATATACATACATCTAGGTTTTTCTCCTTTTTCTAAATAGCTCTTGTTCTTTTTTATTTCTTCTATTGTCCATGGGGAAGTGGAAAAGAATCTTTCCTCCGTAAGCCATGCGTGTCTTTATGAGGCGACTAAAATGCCGGGAGCAATGGGCTAGTAACCCCTTCTCCTGTATACAATTACTAAAAAAAGAGAAGAAGAAAAACTTTATAAAACTGGGTTGCTTAAATGTGCGTGGATGTAGTGCGGATGACAAGAAACAGATGATTGCTGATGTTATGAATGAAAAGAAGTTGGATGTCCTGGCCCTAAGCGAAACAAAGCTGAAGGGGGTAGGAGAGTTTCAGTGGGGGGAAATAAATGGGATTAAATCTGGAGTATCTGAGAGAGTTAGAGAAAAGGGAAAGGGGGTAGCAGTAATGTTAAATGATCAGTTATGGAAGGAAAAAGAGAATATGAATGTGTAAATTCAAGAATTATGTGGATTAAAGTAAAGGTTGGATGCGAGAAGTGGGTCATAATAAGCGTGATATGCACCTGGAGAAGAGAGGAATGCAGAGGAGAGAGAGAGATTTTGGGAGATGTTAAGTGAATGTATAGGAGCCTTTGAACCAAGTGAGAGAGTAATTGTGGTAGGGGACTTGAATGCTAAAGTAGGAGAAACTTTTAGAGAGGGTGTGGTAGGTAAGTTTGGGGTGCCAGGTGTAAATGATAATGGGAGCCTTTGATTGAACTTTGTATAGAAAGGGGTTTAGTTATAGGTAATACATATTTTAAGAAGAAGAGGATAAATAAGTATACACGATATGATGTAGGGCGAAATGACAGTAGTTTGTTGGATTATGTATTGGTAGATAAAAGACTGTTGAGTAGACTTCAGGATGTACATGTTTATAGAGGGGCCACAGATATATCAGATCACTTTCTAGTTGTAGCTACACTGAGAGTAAAAGGTAGATGGGATACAAGGAGAATAGAAGCATCAGGGAAGAGAGAGGTAAAGGTTTATAAACTAAAAGAGGAGGCAGTTAGGGTAAGATATAAACAGCTATTGGAGGATAGATGGGCTAATGAGAGCATAGGCAATGGGGTCGAAGAGGTATGGGGTAGGTTTAAAAATGTAGTGTTAGAGTGTTCAGCAGAAGTTTGTGGTTACAGGAAAGTGGGTGCAGGAGGGAAGAGGAGCGATTGGTGGAATGATGATGTAAAGAGAGTAGTAAGGGAGAAAAAGTTAGCATATGAGAAGTTTTTACAAAGTAGAAGTGATGCAAGGAGGGAAGAGTATATGGAGAAAAAGAGAGAAGTTAAGAGAGTGGTGAAGCAATGTAAAAAGAGAGCAAATGAGAGAGTGGGTGAGATGTTATCAACAAATTTTGTTGAAAATAAGAAAAAGTTTTGGAGTGAGATTAACAAGTTAAGAAAGCCTAGAGAACAAATGGATTTGTCAGTTAAAAATAGGAGAGGAGAGTTATTAAATGGAGAGTTAGAGGTATTGGGAAGATGGAAGGAATATTTTGAGGAATTGTTAAATGTTGATGAAGATAGGGAAGCTGTGATTTCGTGTATAGGGCAAGGAGGAATAACATCTTGTAGGAGTGAGGAAGAGCCAGTTGTGAGTGTGGGGGAAGTTCGTGAGGCAGTAGGTAAAATGAAAGGGGGTAAGGCAGCCGGGATTGATGGGATAAAGATAGAAATGTTAAAAGCAGGTGGGGATATAGTTTTGGAGTGGTTGGTGCAATTATTTAATAAATGTATGGAAGAGGGTAAGGTACCTAGGGATTGGCAGAGAGCATGCATAGTTCCTTTGTATAAAGGCAAAGGGGATAAAAGAGAGTGCAAAAATTATAGGGGGATAAGTCTGTTGAGTGTACCTGGTAAAGTGTATGGTAGAGTTATAATTGAAAGAATTAAGAGTAAGACGGAGAATAGGATAGCAGATGAACAAGGAGGCTTTAGGAAAGGTAGGGGGTGTGTGGACCAGGTGTTTACAGTGAAACATATAAGTGAACAGTATTTAGATAAGGCTAAAGAGGTCTTTGTGGCATTTATGGATTTGGAAAAGGCGTATGACAGGGTGGATAGGGGGGCAATGTGGCAGATGTTGCAAGTGTATGGTGTAGGAGGTAGGTTACTGAAAGCAGTGAAGAGTTTTTACGAGGATAGCGAGGCTCAAGTTAGAGTATGTAGGAAAGAGGGAAATTTTTTCCCAGTAAAAGTAGGCCTTAGACAAGGATGTGTGATGTCACCGTGGTTGTTTAATATATTTATAGATGGGGTTGTAAGAGAAGTAAATGCGAGGGTCTTGGCAAGAGGCGTGGAGTTAAAAGATAAAGAATCACACACAAAGTGGGAGTTGTCACAGCTGCTCTTTGCTGATGACACTGTGCTCTTGGGAGATTCTGAAGAGAAGTTGCAGAGATTGGTGGATGAATTTGGTAGGGTGTGCAAAAGAAGAAAATTAAAGGTGAATACAGGAAAGAGTAAGGTTATGAGGATAAAAAAAAGATTAGGTGATGAAAGATTGAATATCAGATTGGAGGGAGAGAGTATGGAGGAGGTGAACGTATTCAGATATTTGGGAGTGGACGTGTCAGCGGATGGGTCTATGAAAGATGAGGTGAATCATAGAATTGATGAGGGAAAAAGAGTGAGTGGTGCACTTAGGAGTCTGTGGAGACAAAGAACTTTGTCCTTGGAGGCAAAGAGGGGAATGTATGAGAGTATAGTTTTACCAACGCTCTTATATGGGTGTGAAGCGTGGGTGATGAATGTTGCAGCGAGGAGAAGGCTGGAGGCAGTGGAGATGTCATGTCTGAGGGCAATGTGTGGTGTGAATATAATGCAGAGAATTCGTAGTTTGGAAGTTAGGAGGAGGTGCGGGATTACCAAAACTGTTGTCCAGAGGGCTGAGGAAGGGTTGTTGAGGTGGTTCGGACATGTAGAGAGAATGGAGCGAAACAGAATGACTTCAAGAGTGTATCAGTCTGTAGTGGAAGGAAGGCGGGGTAGGGGTCGGCCTAGGAAGGGTTGGAGGGAGGGGGTAAAGGAGGTTTTGTGTGCGAGGGGCTTGGACTTCCAGCAGGCATGCGTGAGCGTGTTTGATAGGAGTGAATGGAGACAAATGGTTTTTAATACTTGACGTGCTGTTGGAGTGTGAGCAAAGTAACATTTATGAAGGGATTCAGGGAAACCGGCAGGCCGGACTTGAGTCCTGGAGATGGGAAGTACAGTGCCTGCACTCTGAAGGAGGGGTGTTAATGTTGCAGTTTAAAAACTGTAGTGTAAAGCACCCTTCTGGCAAGACAGTGATGGAGTGAATGATGGTGAAAGTTTTTCTTTTTCGGGCCACCCTGCCTTGGTGGGAATCGGCCGGTGTGATAATAAAAAAAAAATATAAAAATTATTGCTTTCAGTAATATCTAGGTTTTGGTTGGTATCATTAACAGTCTAATGTCCACTAAACTGTATTTTGTAGTGCTGTAATGTTCAATTTATTGGATACGAACATTTTAAAGGTCAAGCAGGCATGTAATTTTCTCAAATATTTAAAATCTTATCCTTTCATTTTCTTGCAGCGAGAGCATAAAAGTGCTCTGCGTCAAGCAGACACTGTTTCTTGCCCTTCACAACCACCTCCCAATCTACCACCTGGTGTGAGTGCTAAGCTCTTTGCCAATTATTATTACATGCGTGATGGCCGCCGAGCAGTTAAACCAAACGAGGTCTTAGCTATTAATTCTCCAAGTGAACCTACAAAGCTTTTGTCTGCTTCTCCAAAGTAAGCACACCAGTCTGCACCTAAACCTTTTTTGTTTTTATAGTATATTTAAGGACTTTTTCTGAAAGTGTTAACTTACTGTAATTTTTGTTTATCAGTTTAATTGCCATAATGCATTTCAAAGTTTAACAGTTTTCTATTTTACAGATAAAACAATCCACCTAGATATTTTTCATGAATATAATGTATGTTATAATATATATGAAAAGTTAAGTCCTGTGTAAAAATTACTTACACAGTTTAAAATTAAGACTTAAATCATAAAAGTACAGTGGACCCCCGGTTAACGATATTTTTTCACTCCAGAAGTATGTTCAGGTGCCAGTACTGACCGAATTTGTTCCCATAAGAAATATTGTGAAGTAGATTAGTCCATTTCAGACCCCCAAACATACACGTACAAACGCACTTACATAAATACACTTACATAATTGGTCGCATTCGGAGGTAATCGTTATGCGGGGGTCCACTGTAATTATAATCCATTACATATAGTGAAAAAGCATAGTGTGTCATTAATCCTTTTGTAACATAAATAACAATAGACAACTTTTATTTTATTGGTATAATTCTTTTTTTATTTACAAATGGTATGGTATCTTCTAACAGGTCAGAGGATGCGCTTGATGTCCAGACAAAGACGCCAAAAACTCCAGGCAATGTCCATGGTTATGGCAGTGGCTTCTACTGAAATTGTAGATCATTTTTTAAACCTTCTATAGTGTATGTACAGATTATTATTGTAATCAAGGAGGAAGCGCTAAACCTGTAGGATTATATGTATGTACAGAATGTAAATTAAATGTTAAATTATAAATCTGATTTTAATTTTCCTTGATACTGCATTTACTTAAAGGTGGTTCTTACCAAGTCTGTAATAAAAATCTTTGGCTTGAAATATAAAACAAAATATTTGCTGCCAGTCAAATACCAAACATAAAGGATTCGAAATGGTAATGAAACCAAACTATCAAATGACCAGATATTGATGTTTTGTAATTTTTAGGTTCCATAATAAAGCTCATTAAACTGTTTGTGTGATTTGCTCATTCTTTTTCAGACTTTTTTCCTGGCTACTTTTTTTCCAGAGACTGTAATGGAGGTAATCTCAGCTAGAACTTTTATGTTTGAGAGAATTCATAAATTGAAATTTTATAAGGTGAACTCTTATTTTCCTTCATTATAGTGTTATTATCAGTAGTTATGTTTCCAAACACCTTTCATATTTCCTTGTAGACAGTGGACTTCAAAAATACTGAACACTGAAATGAAGATTATTTCATAATTCATTGTTCATTTGTACTGCTGAGGGATTATTAATCCAAGAAATTTGACCTGTCCTCCCTTTCCTTGAACAAAGCCTGATTGTCTCCCATTCCCTCAGGTGCTATATGACCCCTATGGGTTTAGCAGTTCTTTTTAAATATGACAGTAATACAGTAGGACCCCACTTAGGTGACAGGTTAGGTTCCCAACTCCTGCCAAAAAGCAAAAATCGCCAAATAGTGGAACACGCCTTTTTTCACTTTCAAATTTATATAACAGCCTAATGACATTTTTATTTTTACACTATCAGAGCACACACATGCTATAAACAGACTAAATCACTGACAATAGAATGGTGCCAGACGACTTTCCCTGGCTCAGCTGTTGAGCATGTCAGGCTGAAAAGTTGGAACAAGCTCTGAAGAAAATGAACAACAGATATAATTGAAAACCGCTGAATTAGCAGAACGCCATAAAGCAGGACCCTACTGTAATTACGCGCTGTATAGCCCTTGTGGCTTAGCGCTTCTTTTTTATTATAATAATAATAATACTGTAATTTCAGTTCAAACTTGTGATTCCTCACCCTTACTATTGCTCACATTCAGTGTTGGCTGTGCCACATCATTATCAAATACCTTTCAATGAGATACCATGATACTGGTGAAGGACTTTTGATCCAAGGACTTGGAAGCCACCCTCCCCTTCAGAAGACCAAACATCGTTATCTTCCATACTTGGGTTTAACTTTTTCCTGTTATATTTGGGAGGAAGCACTCAACTTGTAGAGAGTCACACAGCATCAGGGAAATAGTAAGTAATCAGGCTTAATCTAAGGAAGAGGGTACCTCCTATTCCTTAGATCTAGAACCATTCAGTGTTTTGTTATAAATATTGCAACATCGCTAAAATTAATTGAGAGTAGGTATTTTGCAACCCATTCCCCATTAAATCAATTCTTGCCATTTGCAGCTGTATGACCCTCGTGGGTTTAGTGCTTGGTTTTTTTTATTATAATAAGAACTGCCATTTGCAAGTTTACTCTTTGTTGAGTTTTCACAGAATGTTAACCTAACCTCTTACTATGAACGAATACCGAAAAGCACAGTGAAACCTCAAGTTAATGGAGTTCAGACTAATGGACAAACCTCATTTTCTAGAAATGTATTATGCTCTACTAGATAAATTCCTCTTCAAGGGGGGGGGGGCTCCTTGATGCGGCGAAGAGGCTCTTGGTCTAAGGAATTAGACCATTTGGTCTCCTTTCTCAGACCAAACCTAATTACCCCCCAAACCTCCCTTCCCTATCCCATCCTCCCTTTTTTTCCTTTCCTCCCCCCTCTCAATCCTCCATTTTCCCTGTCCCATTTGTAGCCTCTGGGGTCCTCCCCTCTTGCATTACAGTTTCTAGGTAGGGGGAAGTATGCTGGGGTTCATCATGCTTCGTGAGGTTCCTTGGGTGTGGTGTAGTTTGCTGTGAAATCTGGATTGTCTGGAGGTGACCTGTTCCCTTCCCAGATTTCCGAGAAGTGGGCGGGGTGTTCTGCAGATGACGAGTGTAACTCCAGAGGCTGTCTGTTGGTTCTGGGAGGTGACAGCTGAAGAAGATATGTTTTGAGGTGGGTCTCCGACTGCCCTCTCTTTTGTCCACCGAGATGGCTCGGTAGATGTGAGGTTGCTCTCCCGGAGCACTGGTTTACTGGCGTGAAGAGTAGGGTATGGCATGGGTTTTACACTGCATCTGCACTGCTTGCGAGCTTGAGGTCCTCTCAGATGAGGGGACAAACTTACGGCCCTTTCATGCCTGCTAGTAATTGTCCCTCCGTTGTCGCTTTTTCTTTTTCTTTTTTTTTTTTTCTTTTTTTTCTTTAACCCTTAAACTGTCCAAACGTAGATCTACATTTTTTCAACACTTGAAAAAATGTAAAAAAACGTAGATCTTCTTTTTGTTTTTTTACATTTGAAAACGCGTAAAAAACTTTGAACTACGTTTTTTTTGTTATATTTGAAAATATGTAAGAAAACATAATCTACTTTTGGAGCGCTACACATGTCAACATAGATCTGTTTGGACAGTTTAAGGGTCAAAATAATAACAAGAAAGTACCACAATCATGAAGTCTTCATTCCGTGATAACCCTCCTCCTCCCAAGCCCCTTTCTGTTCCTGCATCCTGTTCTGACTTGACATCATTCGTGGGGAGCAGATCGCCGGACTCTCCTCCATTTGCATTTCCACCCTAGTCTTGTCCAAGTTGGATTATGGTGACCTAGTCTATTTTGCAGCTTCTCCTACCACTCTTTCTAAATTAGATCCCCTTCACCATCAGGGTCTACGTTTATGCCTTGGTGCCTCTCGTTCATTCCCTGTTAAAAGTCTCTATGCTGAAGCAAATGTTCCTTAGCTGATCATTGTGCTCACTGCCTTCATTACTTTGTCCACTCTCATGACCTTCATGTTCCATCTACGTATAGGTTGATTTCAGATGTTAGTAGAGACCTATTATTTGTTCGATGCCCCTGCTTACTCCGACCGTTTCTCTTCGTCTTCACTCACTCCGGTCTTCTCTCCAGTTGCCTCCCTTGTATGTTCATTTAGACTCTGCCTTTTCCCTTCCCCCTTGGGAGGTTCCGACGGTTCGTGTCTGCTCTCCCCTACTGCCGTGCACCAAAACACTCTTACCTATGACTGCTTCTCGCTCTCTTCTTCTTGATCACTTCCAGTTGCATGCTCATGCTATTGCTGTTTATACAGATGGTTCTAAATCTTCTGACGGTGTTGGGTTTGTGGCGTTGTTCCCTGACGATGTTGTCTGAGGTCATTTATTAGACACGGCTAGTAATTTTACCGCCCTGTTGCATGCTATCCTCATAACGCTTCTCCATATTACATATATGACTTCTACAACATTTATGATCACTTCAGATTCCCTCAGTGCTTTACAAGCCATTAAACAATTTGATTCCCCTCATCCATTAGTCCTTCATATTCAGCTATGGCTGTGCCATGTGGCTAGCAAAAACAAAGATGTCATTTTCTGTTGGGTCCCTGGACACGTTGATGTCCAGGGCAATGAACAAGCGGATGCTGCCGCTGCACGATCAGTAGTGCATGATCTTTCGGTTTCCTATAGAGGTATTCCGTTCAAATATTATTTTCCAGTCATCTCGGCCCGTCTTCACGGCCGTTGGCAACAATGGTGGTTGGCCATGCACCATAACAAATTGCACTCTATTAAACCGCTTTTAGGTTTGTGGCCATCTTCTTACCACCGCATTGGCCATACTTGCCTTACCCATGGGTATCTCATGGAATGACACCCTATCTGTGAGGTTTGTCGGGTCCCTATTTCGATTCTTCACTTTCTTGTAGATTACCCAGTTTACCAGCGAGCTTGCAGGATTTACCTTCAATGACACCGCCACCCTACCACTCTTACCTTATCTTCCCTTCTAGCAGACGACCCTGCCTTTGACTTACAATCATTTTTTTACTTTTTGTCAGCAACTGCTTTACTGTACGAACTTGGACACATAGCCCTTAGTGCCCTTTTCTCCCCTCACCTCTGATCCCTTCTCCACCTAGATGTTTATAGCCCCAGCACTATTTTCTACCCGGCAGAACTGTATGACCCTTGTAGGCTTAGCGCTTTCTTTGATTATAATAATAATAATCTACTAGACTAGATAAATTAACTTCTTATTGGGTGGATAAGTTTGATTGATTCCAGAATTGCCTCTTATTGTAACAATCGTAGAAAAAAAATCTTATCATTCAAATTTAACGGATATTTGACATTAGCAGACACCCTCTCTACTCCTATTAGTCCATTAAATCAAGATTTCACTGTACAGATATTCTGAGGAGGTACAGTACAAATGTAAGCATTGTTTGATCCATATAAATTTAGCACATATTAATACAGGCACTCCTCACTTAACAACCAAGTTCCGTTCCGCATACACTTTCGAGAACACACCAGCTAACCCCTTTACAGTGACCTTTTGAACCTCTTCCATTCTTTCCTCTTCTTCCTCTTCCAAGTGCTGCTGCACTTACAACTCTATGAAATTTCATTAGTTAGCTCTCCCTTGACCAAAGTTCTTGTAAGAGGTACAATACAGAGTGAAAAAAAAAAAACCATACCACAGGCGAGGACTGAACTCACGATGAATGAGTTGTAAAACAGACTGGTCGGAGAGCTAGTTATAAGTCCATGCGGTTGTTAAACAGGTAGTAATAGTACATGTAATTGTAGCAGATAAAGAAGAGATCATTTTTGGTGATTGTAACAAAAATGGACCAAAAAGCTTCATCCACTGTTTTTAAATCAAGTAACCCAGTGGATTTTTTCGATTTTCCGAAGACCATTACATGGAGAGTTTACTGGGTCAAATAGAACGTAGTGAAAACAGAAAAGTGACAAAATTTGTAGTAGAATAAGGGACTTTATTAAAATATATTCTGGAAATGTATAAGTGGTAAACAACTTTTCAATTGTACATAATTACAGTAAAATTATAAACAAACCTCTGTTTAACACAATTCTAAACAATGAACAAAATCTGCTGGGTACAAAATTATCTGTTTTGGTATTGTATTTACTTTTTTCTTAGGACTAATTTTAAATATTATTACTTTCCTTCATGATGGACACAAAGGAATTTGTTAAAACAAGATTTTTCCTTGCCAAACTTACACCAAGTGCTGAAATGACCCATACATGTTTAGCACACTTTTGTGAATACTTGGATTGCACCGAAAAAGGTATTTTGGTATGTACAAATTTGAAACCTTATGAATAGGTACCTTAAATGCAAATTATCAAACCTGACATTTGCACATGAAAAGTTGATTAGCATAATTTAATAATACAGCTTCTCCTCACTTAGCGATGTACTTGTTTACCAATGACTCAAACTTATGACAGGCTTTCTGACCAGTATGCATACCTAAATAATGTATATTAGAGTTGATTTCCTCTATTATGTTTATTACGATATACAGTACATTACTGTATAAACATTTAAAAATATACCAGAAATGTTATAAATGGTGCAAATGTGACATGAAAACAATATCAAAGATGGATGAAACAAACGAACTACCATTATAGTATGCTCCTCACTTAGCGACGAATTCATTTACTGACACGGTCTTAAGAACGGAACTCCATCCTCAAATGAGGAGAAGCTGTATATTAAAATTTTTCAACTAATTCAGTATGTGCTATGAGCACATACTGAAACAATAAATGAAGTCATCTCTACTCCCAATATATAGTTTATTCCTGAAAAATACAGGAGATGCAAACAATTCACCATTTAACATAGTTTCCATCACAGTTTCAACAGATGCATCTGGAGATACAAGAGTGGAATCTGCATCTGTGGTGCCTCCTCCATTTTCAAAACTTATTTGAACTATACAGAGTCTTCCAGATGTTTCACATATTACTGCACAGAATGCCTTTGGGTTATTCAGAGAAAATAAAAAGGGGGTAGCATAAATTGCAGATAATCCTGTGAATTGAGCAATTTTTTTGCCACAGCTGTTAAAAAAGTATACATTGTGATCATGTGAGCCAATGCCTATTATTTCTAGACCATTTTCTAACTGGAGCACAAATGGGGAGGAAAACACATTGCCTTTTGTTTCAAATTTCCAAAGCCTAGAACCAGAAAAAGAATAGCTGAAAATTTCACCACAAACATTTCCAAAAATTATACCTTCAGAGTACGAAGTTATTGAACTAAAGACTGGCTTGTTAACAGATACATGCCACATAATATCTCCTGTTAGCTTATTCACCCCACTAACTATACCATCAAGTGTTGCAACAAAGACACAATTTCCATTAACACAGGGTGAAGAGAATATACTTCCTTCTGAAGGCTTAATCTTCCATTTTAATTCACCATTTCTGGTTAAACAGTATAATTTTTTGTCATGAGAACCAAATATCACCAAGTCCAATTCATCATCAACGACCGGAGAGCTTTTGATCTCTCCTTCTGTTTTATACTTCCAGAGGATCTGCCCATTTTCAATACAAATACAATATAAAGCCCCATCATAGCAGCCAACATATACCTGTTCACCATCCCCTGAAACAACAGGTGATGACTCCACTCTGTCCCCAAGTAAAAGACACCACTTCTCAGTCCCACTCAGGACATTGATGCAGACAAATTTATAAGAGTGTGATCCAACAAGGACAAAAATCTCCCTATTGTTATATTCAATTACCACTGGAGATGAGTCAATACATTTACCAAGATTATGCTTCCACAGTAGTTCTATTCTGCTTGGTAAATTATCATACTTAAAAGATGAAGATTCTTTACTCTGAATGCCTCTCCTTGATACAACAGTCAGGGCAAGAGCCTGATCTGTAAGTAAAAGGTCTTGTTCATTTAAAGAATTTTTGTGTTTCTGAAATGTCTCCTTACATTGAGATTCTGGGTCACTATGTTTTATTTTCTTATCGCCTTCATAGCCTAGAGTATGTATGGATTGACTATTAAGGTGTTGTGCACGTTCATTTTTTAGCTTTTTCGTTGTTTTATACAGGCTCTCAGTATTTTCAGACCTCTTTCTGGAATATTTATATTTTCTTATTACCTGGCAAGTTTTCATAAAGGTATCATTAAGCAAGGCATCCATTAGTTTTGGTACCTCATAACCAATACAATCTTTCAAGTTTTCAGTAAAATGTACTGCATAGAGTGAGTTTCCACCAGATTTAATGAAGTTATCATTTGGATTAACTATATTACATCCAAGAATTCTCTTCCATAATTCTTCACAATATTTTGTTAATGAATTATCATATTCCCAGAAATTTAATGCAGAAGATTGGTATTCTTTGGAAAGCAACTGATGAACATCAATTTTTCCATGCTTATTAAAGGGAATGTCCTTAACAATAATTATATTATCTGGTAATTTCCAATAAGATAATTTTGTTCTCAGATCCTGCCAAACATCATTTGCAGTTATAGTTTTTCTAGATGAATAAACAAATGCTACAATTTTATTCCCCATAAGTAATTCTATATGACATGTATCCACATACTCTAAGCTTCTACACTGTTTATCAATTTCTGCAAGGCTTACTTTCTGGCCATTACGCTTTACTTGACAGTCGAATCTTCCAGAGCAATAAATGTTGCCCTTCATCATTACTCCTCTGTCACCAGTTTGTCGTAAAACTGCCTCAACTTGTCTAGTTTTTTCATTATCGTGTTCTTCAGTGATGTGTACAGTACCATCATCCACCCAGCACATTCTCTCAGGCCCTCCAATATAAATTTCTCCTTCTTCACCATCTATGACATCTACTTCATTTTTGTTTAGCAACCTGACTACAGTGAGGCTTAGTGTATTACCAATTGGAGCAATATCTGAAAATGAATATTTTCCCTCCCTGAATTCCCCTTCCAAAATATTTTTGGCTTTTTCATTATCAGCTACTATTTGCAGACCTAGTTCTGCATTTATCACTGGTTCTGTTCTGTTTATTAGAACTTCTGCTGCTGTAGCCCAACATGACACCTCAGTTATACCGTAAAGATTAAAAATTCTAGTTTTACACTTCTCATTCACCCACTGTTTTAAAAGTGACAATTTGGGGAACACTTCACCACCCAAAGCTAAAATTTTTAGATGAGAATCCTCTGCTAGAAGTGATTCCTTTAATCTTTCTTTTCCAAAACTTAACATAAGAGTTGGAGTAGCTTGAAGAATTGAAACTTTGGTGTTTATCATAATATTAAGCAAAATCTTTGGGGTTCTTAAAAGATGAGGGGAGACCATAACAAGATTTGCCCCTACTTTGAATGCCATAAACATGTCTACAACGCTTGGGTCAAATGAAAGAGGAGCAGCACAAAATATTGAGTCTCTCTGTTCAGTTCCAAATAAGGTAACTAAATCCAAGATATTTGGCATTATAGAGGAATGGGGCACATACACATATTTTGGAACACCTGTTGAACCCGAAGTAGAAATCACATATGCCAAGTCTTTCATAATATGATTTTTCTGAAATATTGATTGTTTTTTGCAGTTAATTGAAATTAGCTTAAAACGAGTTTCAAATAAACAAAAGCTACCCAGAATGGCGTTAGGGATTCCTTCAACATTCTGAAAGTATTTCTCTTCTACCAATATTCTTTGTGGACACACTCGATCAAGTAATGACGTAAGTTCTTCCTTAGTATATTCTGGGGAAATATAAAAGTAAGCATTTTTTCTTAATATCCCAAGTATGCAAGCAACTGCCACAGGACCAGTGGAACACAAAACTCCAATAATTGTTGTCTGTTTTTTGCCATTAATCTTAGAACTTAGAACCTCACTGATATATGATTGTTTATCTTTAAAACCTCCACTAACATGCAATGGGAATTCATTGTAGACTTTTCCACTCACACAAGATGAGTTCTTATCATTATATATGCCCTCCGTTGGATTATTTAGCTTCAATACGGTGTGATCATGCCCTTCGTGCTGCTGCTGCTGCTGCTCTTTTGTCAAAGCTTCTTGAGGCAGGGAAAGCTGAGGTTCGTAAGTCTCATCACTCTTGGACAAAATCTTAGCTATTTTAGTGGATTCTTCTTTTAATTCGCTGTAAGTGATCTTCTTTTTACAATGTTCATCTGGAAGACAGAAGGAAATGTTTAGAGCATTCAAAAAGAGTATAACCCAACAATTTGCATAAAACTCTCATTCAAAACTATGGCAGACAGACAAATTTTACTGTTGAATTGGCCATCAACAGAACCAGACATGAGGAAAGAGGAGCATTTCAATTGGTTTTACATGACAGGTAAATTGGTTCGTACGTTGGACTACGTGCGGCTAGCAGCAACAGCTGGTTGATCAGGCCCTGATCCACCGGGAGGCCTGGTCATGGACCAGGCCACGGGGGCGTTGACCACCGGAATACCCTCCAGGTAGACCCAATTCACTTTATAAGTCTATCTGATTTACTTTTAAAGCTGCCCAAACTACTGTATAAATTTTAATTGCTACATTTCATTTTGTTCCACTCATTTACAATTCGTATTACCAAACCAGTGCTTTGTAAGTCTAAATTTATTAAACCATATTATTACAATTTCTGTCTTTGTTAGAGTTTTGGTACCTTATTTATATCCTCTATGTGCCAATCTTCACTTTGTATATTTTCATAATATCTCTACCTATTTCATGCATTTCAAGCGTGTTAGTTTGGCAGCCTTAATCTAACTTCGAAGGAATGCATTTATGTACACTGTGTACTATGGATTGTAACTGAACTTTACATTCTAAATGAGGCTTTACCAAAGTAATGTACTGTATGGAATTCTTGTATAACATTAGGATTTTTGCTTCTTGCACTTCTTGATAAGAAGGAAAGCAGTTTTATAATCATTAAGTGAACATGTGCACTGCCTTGATGTCATACTTATGCTACAGATATAAGACCTAAATAAAATCTACATCAGGTCTGATTACATTCTGCATTATAGTATTTACTTCATAAGAAACACTTTTTTATACTGAAAGAGCCTAGGAAGCCTAGAAGCTGAGGTAATATAGGTTAAACATGGAAGGTGCATAGGTGATGTAAATGATGTAAATAACATCCCAGGAAGAGCTGGAGGGAGCCTGGCCCATGGCTGGGCTCTGAGAGTAGTAAGACTTTCAAAACTCATCAGAGGGTATAAAAGTGGTTTTAAATAGTAAGGGTTTCATCGTCCAGCAAACATGTGTGAGCATGTTAGATAAGAGTGAATTTGGACAAATTACTTTTGGGAATTTTATATCTTATCATAAATGTAGCATACATGAAAGAATGCAGGGAAACCTGTTAGCTAGACTTCAGATGTAGAGGTGGGAGGTATAGTGCCTGCACTCGGAAGGTTGGGTGGAAGTACAGTGGACCCCCGCATAACGATCACCTCCGAATGCGACCAATTATGTAAGTGTATTTATGTAAGTGCGTTTGTACGTGTATGTTTGGGGGTCTGAAATGGACTAATCTACTTCACAATTTTCCTTATGGGAACAAATTCGGTCAGTACTGGCACCTGAACATACTTCTGGAGTAAAAAAATATCGTTAACCGGGGGTCCACTGTATTTCAGTTAGGAGAGTCACTGAAGTTGTAATGTCTATGCATTTAAAGCTAGAGTAGGAGGAGATGTACCTCCTTCTTTGGGTCACCATAACTGCACAGAATCCCCAACCCTAAGTGGTAGAGCCTCGGGGCAGGTAAACAGTATCTTTCACTGCCTGATAAACCAGAATGTTATCTGATCTGTTTTACTATTTTTTTTCATCCCAGTCCAAGGAAAACAGACAATATTAATTAGTGGTTTGCCAAAGTATTGGTATTGGTGAGCACCAGCTAATTTTGATGTTATCAGTATTAATCTAAAATTATCAATTATATTTTATTTTATATTTTATTAACACATCAGCTGTTTCCCACCTAGGCAGGGTGACCCAAAAAAGAGGTAACATTTTCTTCATCACTCACCCCATCACTGTCCTGCCAGAGGTGTGCCAACACCACAGTTCAAAAACTCTGCCCCTCCTTCAGAGCGAAGGCACTACTTCCCACTTCCAGGACTCAAATCTGGCTAACCGGTTACCCTGAATCTCTTCATGTTACTTTGCCCAAACTCCAACAGCATATCAAGGCACAAAAACAATTTGTCTCCACTCACTCCTAATACGCCTGTGTACACTTGCTAAAGTCTAAGCCCCACGCACACAAAACCTCCTTTACCTCCTCCCTCCAACCTTTCCTAGGATGACCTCTTACCCCACCTTCCTTCCACTACAGATTTATATACCTTACAAGTAATTTTATATTGTTCCATCCTCTCTAAATGTCTGAACCATAAATAGCCCTCAGACACAACATCTCCACTTCCTCCAGCCTTCTCCTTGATGCAACATTCACCACCCATGCTTCACACCTATTAAAGAGCATTGGTACCACTATACTACCCTCATATATTTCCCTCTTTTCTTCTATGGATAACATTCTTTGTCTCTATACAGTCCTCAGTGCACCATTCACCTTTTTTTCTTCATCATTTATATGATTCACCTCGTCTTTCATAGACCCATCTGCTGACAAGTCCACTCTCAAATATCTGAATACATTCACTTCCCCCATACTCTCTTCCTCCAATCTGATACTTAATCTTTCATTACTTAAACTTTTTATCCTCGTCACCTTGCTCATTCCTATGTTCACTTTTAATTTCCTTCTTTTACATACCCTCCTAAACTCATCCACTTCTCTTCAAAATCTCCCAAAGCAGTGTCATCAGCATAAAGCAACTGTGAAAACTCCCACTTTGTGTTAGATTCTTTATCTTTTAATCCCACAGCAATTGCCAGCACCCAAGCATTCACTTCTCTTACAACCCCATCCATAAATATATTAAATGACCTTGGTGACATCATGTACCCCTGTCTAAGCCTACTTTTACTGGGAAATAATCTCCCTCTCTCCTACATACTCTAACCTGAGCCTCATTATCCTCGTAAAAACTTAACTGCTCTAAGTAACCTACCACCTATTCATCAAAAATTTATTATCATCTCATCACTAACTTTAATGCCACCACCAGTACTAATACTTATGCCACTGATAAGACCCTTGTAAATGAACTCACAGACAAAAATAGGAATATTGTATCTACTCTATTGTCAATTCATTATTATTATTCTTATTATTATTATTGTGTTATTATTATTACTGTTATTATTATTAGTGTAAATTATATTATTATTACCTATACACAGTAATCAATGACATTTTAACTGCTATAATAACTCTGACTAGGTTTAAAGATTATATCTTACCTTCACAGTATATAATTGCTAAGTTATGAGGATGTGCAGCAGCCCCTGTGTTAAAGAGTGTGTAGAGATTCCTGGCCATGTTGCTTCATAGAAGGCACACCATGGTTTATTACTGGAAAGAGGAGAAAATACTCATAAATATGAACTACAAAAATATTAAAGTTTTGAACAGGTTTATTATATATACGTATATAGCAAGTGTTGCGAAACAGGCTATTTGAGATGGAAAGGCATGGAATGAATGGAGGGAACTGAAAGGTTGAGTTGCATTTAGTGCTGTCATCATATACTGGCCTGATTATATTACAATGTAAGGAACTGTTCAAATTAACCAATAATTTATCACGGAAAAGTGCTAAACCCCTAAAGGTCATATGGCACCTGTGGAATGGAAGATAATCACATTTAATCTGGGGAAGCTTCAATTTCTTGGACAGAACTTTTCACCCGTATCAAGGCAATGAAGAGGTATTGAAGAGTGTTAGATTCAATAGCCAAGCTCCCATCCTTACAAACTGAAAAATTTGCCATACTTACTGCAAGCAGAAGTTACAACTATGGTTAGTTAAATTATTACAGACTCCGTATCCTTATTACTTTCTTTAATTGTCCTGAGATTTAAGTGTAACATTAGAGCATATGAAGGCAGACACACATATGGACAGACTATTGATTTAGGTGATTGACTGAGGCTTTAGTTAAATTAAAAAAATGCCAAATAAAATTTCAGCACTTATTAGAAAAGTTTTTTAGTTTAAAAACTATGAGAAAAGAACTTGTTAATGAGTCAAATTCCTGAACTTATGTGCCAAATCATTAAGATTACATTTTGTGAAACACTAATCCAATCTACTGTATAAACAACTGTGCAAAACAAGTGCATAAAGTCAGTATCCACGTGCTGCTTGTGTATAAATAAATAATATTGTCCACGTAAGACAAAATTAGAGCAAAGACATCCCAGAGTCAACGAAACAAATCTGAAGTGATGTGTGGGATATCATTACATAGTACCAAAAACAGACCACAGGATATCTTTTAACATAAACAGTAGGACCCCATATCCGCTGGAGATACATTCCAAGGATTACCTTGGATACTCAAAACTGCAGAATGTAGCGAATCCTATATATAAGACTTTTTTGGATATACATACATACCTATGATAAAGTTTAATTTATAACTTACACACAATAAGTCGAGAATTAGCACTTTTTCACTGATGGGAAGCACTTCAAGGCTTCTTTTAGGCTTTGAAGAACTGTCACCATCATTACTTTTGCACTTTGGAGCCATTATTAAGTAAAAATAAGGGTTATTTTCGGGCCAGGGTAAACCGCAGATAACTGAAACAATGGAAGCCGGACACACGGATACGGGAGTCCTACTGTACAACATATGTATGGGATAATTACTTAAGTGATAGCGTTCCACCATTGGCAGGGCAAACTCCTATAGTACTAGTACTGTCCTAGTAATGTCCTTTTCACCCTGCCAGGAGTAGTAGTCCTCAGTATGTAAATCCTAACATATAATCACAGGTAAATAAATAAAGTCAGTGACTTATTTCCAATGGGGTCCTTGTAATATTATTATTATTATAATCAAAAAGAAGCGCTAAGCCACAAGGTCCTTGTAATAACTTATTATTTAAAAAGTAAAAGGAGATATATACTAGGAATAAGGTAAACCGAGTTATTGAGGCACTTTTGATCCTCTCCTCCAGGATGCGACCCACACCAAGGTACCTACTTACTATTAGGTAGTTTGTAGGTATCGCGATACCATTTTACAGCCAAGGCACATCTTTCGCAGAGTCATCATGACTGTTGTAAGTGGCATTGCGCACTGTGGCTCAGTTGGTAGTGTCCTCAGCTCACTCAGGAAATGGGGATTGCTCCCCCGCATGGGTGAAACGCTGAACACGTTTCCTCACACCTGCTGTCCCTGTTCACCTCGTAAGTAGGTACCTGGGTGTTAATTGACCGGTGTGGGTCACATCCTGGGGGACTAGATTAAAAGACCCCAAGTGGAAATAAGACAAGACACTCCCCAATGACATGTGGATTTCTGGGTTATCCTGGCTTACTAAGCCTCCGGGTTAATAATATAAACAAAATCTCCATCCTGGAGAAGAGGAGCACAGGACCCTAAGGTTCAGGATACCAGCAGATGAAGGAACACTTCTCCAGGATACCAGCAGATGAAAGAACACTTCTCCAGGATACCTGCAGATGAAGGAACACCTCTTCAGGATACCAGCAGATGAAGGAACACTTCTCCAGGATACCAGCAGATGAAGGAACACTTCTCCAGGATACCAGAAGACGAAGGAACACTTCTCCAGGATACCAGCAGATGAAGGAACACTTCTTCAGGATACCAGCAGATGAAGGAACACTTCTCCAGGATACCAGCAGATGAAGGAACACTTCTTCAGGATACCAGCAGATGAAGGAACACTTCTTCAGGATACCAGCAGACGAAGGAACACCTCTTCAGGATGTATGTGGTTTACTAAAAGGCCAGAAGGTTCCTAAAATAAGCACTTCCACTACTTTCCTCTACAATGTTACTGTTGGGTAACAAAGGTTAATACGGCCTGAGAACTTTGTCAACATTGATATCATATTCCATAAGAGAGATTTGTTTTAAGTTTATTCAGGTAGTATACACAAATACATAGATTATGAGAACAGATTATCCAACTTACGAGGTGATATAAAAAAGACCTGGAAAACACTATCTGAAATTCTGGGAACAAAAAAGATATCACGAAATAGCGAAATAAAATTAGCAAAATCAGATGAACCCCAACTCCCACCAACAGAAACAGCAAACAGACTCAATGATTTCTTCTCCACTATAGGACAAAACCTTGCCCATAAAATCCCAAGCTCAGATACCCCACCAAATAACTACCTCACCGGCAACTACCCGAACACACTGTTCCTAGCTCCGACTAACCCATACGAAGTCTCCCTTATTATCAATGCACTAAAAAACAAGGCAGGAGATTTAAGTACCTTACCACCCTTTATATATAAAAAAGTGTCACAAGTGCTATCTCCAATCATTGCAACACTCTTTAACAAATCCATTGAATCCTCCACCTTCCCTACAGTACTCAAAATAGCAAGGGTCACCCCGATCCACAAAGGAGGAGACCAAACAGAGTTGAATAATTATAGGCCAATATCCAACTTACACCCTCTCTCAAAAATCTTTGAAAAACTAATTCATAAACGAATCTACTCCTACCTTATCTCCCAGAACATACTCAACCCTGCCAATTTGGATTCAGGCCTAATAAAAATACTAATGATGCTATTATACACATGCTAGAACATATATACACTGCAATAGAGAAAAAAGAAGTCCCACTGGGGATCTTCATTGACTTACGTAAAGCTTTTGATACAGTTGACCATGACTTGCTCCACGTAAAATTGTCACACTATGGTATAAGAGGGCACTCCCTCAATTACCTCAAGTCATACCTCAGCAACAGAAGCCAATATGTGTACGCAAATGGGGCAAACTCTTCTGCGCAACCAATTACAGTTGGTGTCCCACAGGGAAGTGTCCTTGGCCCTCTTCTCTTTCTCCTATACATAAATGACCTTCCAAATGCTTCGCAATTACTCAAACCCACACTATTTGCAGATGACACTACATACGTCTTCTCTCACCCGAGCCCAGTCACACTAGCCAATACTGTAAATACCGAATTACAGAAAATATCTACCTGGATGAGGACTAACAAACTTACACTAAACATTGACAAAACCTACTTCATTCAGTTTGGTAACAGAGCTACAGATGTCCCTCTTAACATAATGATAAACGGATCACCTATCACAAAGCTAACAGAGGGAAAATTCTTAGGAATCCACCTTGATAATAGACTCAAATTTCATACACATATACAACAAATTTCTAAGAAAATTTCCAAGACTGTAGGCATACTATCGAAGATACGGTACTATGTTCCACAGTCAGCCCTCCTGGCCCTATATCACTCTCTTATTTACCCCTATCTCACCTATGGAATTTGTGCATGGGGCTCAACAACAGTTAACCATCTCAGACCACTAATTACCCAACAAAAGGCTGCAGTTAGAATGATAACAAATTCTCACTACAGGCAGCACACTCCACCAATATTCAATACACTAAACCTACTCACCATACAAAACATCCATACTTATTACTGCACCTATTACATACATAGAACACTTAACTCTGATATTAACCCTCCCCTCAAACATCTCCTTGCCAACCTCAACAGAACACATGACCATAACACAAGGCACAGATCACTCTTTGATGTTCCTCGTGTTCATCTCACACTATGCAAAAACTCAATGCACATAAAAGGCCCTAAAATCTGGAATTCATTACCTGTAAATATAAAGAAACACTACCTGTTTATAAATTCAAGTCTCTACTCAAAGATCACTTACTCACCCAAAACCAAATAAATACTGAATAACTGAACCTTATAAATTGTATATCTTAAATGTTTCTCACAATTATATCACATAAATGTTAAACCTAAAACCCAATCTAACTTTATTATTTTTTAAATACACTACCTAACAGAATCCTTCATATGACCTGTCTTTGTAATACTCACTTGTGCTTTATAGTAATCTGTTTACATTAATGTTTTATCACTGACTTCATCATTGCTTAATTAATCTTAAGTTAATTTTAAGCCAGCCCGTAATGCTATGCATAGTATAAGTGGCTTTGGCATACTGCTCTTATCTGTATTTTTTTGTACCTCTGTATGTGTGCACAAATTTATAATAAATAAATAAATAAATAAATAAATAAATAAATACATAGCAGCATATGTGTAGAAAACCTAGGATAACCCAGAAGTCGGGATTTTTAATCCCGGATTATTATTATTGCATGATAATATACACTTGGAAAGTCCTGGATTGGTACCAAACTTGCACACGAAAATCACTGTATGAAAGCATTCCCCATCAACTTCTTGCACATAAGAAAACAAGAGGAGCTACAGTATCACGGTGTTAGGATTTATATTGGGAACTTTGCTCTCAACTTATTTAACTTGTATGCTCCTGCTGATAAGTTTAATTACTTGGAGCTCCCAACTTGTGCTCAGTCTGAACCTACTCTTATTATTGGCGATTACAATGAGAGACAAAAGCATTGGAAACTCACAGTTTGGTAATCGTAATGATAATCAACTGTTGTCACTCTTAAACAGTCATGATAATGTGCAAATTGTAGGTGACCTTGAACCCACACATATCTATGGAGGTGTCCTTGATCTGTGTCTGGGCTTCAACATTACTTCTGCCAGCTGTGAGTCTTCCATTGTAACAGATATAGCGTCTGATCATTTCCCTAGGCTAACCTCACTAGATATTGGTAATACTATCCTTCTTGGTGGGATATTCAAACGGAAACGTTTTAAAGTTCCCACTGATCAGCATGATGACTTTGTTGCACATGTGACTGACTGGTATAATTCCTATGTGTTCCTCTGTAGATTATTATTATTATTATTATAATCAAAAAGAAGCGCTAAGCCACAAGGGCTATACAGCGCTTTCCTCTGTCGAGACTTTTAACAATGACCTTGTGAGCAGTATTCAGAACTACTTAGAGCCGCCAATGAAACCTTTTGGTACTCTAAACCCAACAAACTTCCATAATAATCATACCTCCTTTAAAAACCATACTTATTGTGAAAATTTGTGTGGACTGCCTCCAAGTGAGTCGCCTACCCTGGCAAACTCTGTTGACACCGAGCTCTGACGTGGGTACCTCAGCCTCACAAGTGGCTTATAGGACAGATTTTCACAAATGATTGGTATTGCAAGAAACCTCGCCTGCATGCACGTATAAAGGACTAACTTACTTGGTGTTGCAGCATATATCCTGATCTTCACTTCCCTAGGCTAGCCTTAGCCCCTTTGGACTCCCCCTCAGAAACCACGTGCAACCGGGAGCATTAATTCCTGCAATATTCAATCGTAATTAGTGTCCTGCCTGCACCTCAGAAATTCCTATATCCAAGAGGGTATGTATCCCCTAGTATAACTATGCAGACTCAGACCCTAGCTTCAGACGGCTCTGAGACACTGGTACTTACTGGGCATGCTCTCTCTGTTGCACACCGGGCCCACAGTTAAAACCCACCCACGATCTCCCAAGACACTGGCCAGAATCTACGAGAAAAAGGTAGAGGTTTTGTCTTACTGTAAGGGCCTGACGGAGGTCATCTACGGTACATCGAGGTGCCTCTACCCGATTTCCCCAGGTCTCAGATGTGAAGGCACGTGGGGCGCCGTCTGTTGTTCATGGCACGTCTTGTCTTGATGGTGTCTGTCGTAAGAAGAGCGAGCTGGTCCCTCTTCCAGACCCTCGTCTCTTCGTTCAAACTAGGGCTGCCAGTTCTCCCTAGCTAACTTATCCTAGTGTTTGCCTACATTATCGGCCTATTACTACCTATGTTAAGGTCTTAGGTCTACATTATCATTATCTACAGATGCCTTAGTAAACCTAATATTAGTGTACTACCAGTAAAACTACCTACTCCTTCCCTGAAGAGTAAATCTATAAATTAAATACATGCCTACCAACAATCCATCGCTGACCAGAGAGAATGCTCTCATGTTTGGGTGGGGTATAAGGGCCATCCAGCTCAGCCGTCCCATACGGCCATGCTGGATCTGCCCTGTGGAACTTTAGGGACCAAATAAATTTCCACACTTATTACAATGATTCTAAACTTCGAACATTGAAACGTACTGCTCGCAGACTAGGCCTAGCCTATAGAAAACATCGTACCCCTGGAATGCTGAGCCTCTTCCAAACTGCCCTTGCTGCTGCCAGATTATTATTATTATTATTATAATCAAGGGGAAGCGCTAAACCGGAGGATTATACAGCGCCTGGGGGGGGGGATGTGGAAGGCATTCAGGCTTAATGCTGCTGCCAGAAAGCATATGACAGAGCTGCGGCAAACAGACTGGGAACAATTTATCAATGGTCTTAATGCTCACACCCCACTTAGCCGGGCATGGAGGGACATAAATAGAATTAAAGGTAACAGAACTGGGCAGATCACGCACCCTCATCCCTTACATAGGGCGAATGAGTTAGTCAGTGCTTGGGCTGCTACATCTAGCTATAACAATCTTCCCAGTACCACACAGGTGAAATTAAATGACAAATATGATGCAAGGGAGAGACTTGCTTGCTTTATACTCAGCAAGGCAGATGACTGCAACATTTCCTTTCACTAATTATGAACTTGATGCAGCACTAACTAAGGACAACTCCACGTTGCCTGGTGAGGATGGTATTACAACATACTCAGATTGCTGTGTCGAGTACCAGGTAATCCATTACTTGAATTATATAACATGAGCTAAGTAACTGGGGAGCTCGCTCAATCTTGGACCAACAGCCTCATCATTCCAATTCCTAAGCCCAATCAACAAAATGCATTTCGCCCAATATATCTTACTAGCTGCTTGTGTAAAACATTTGAGAGAATGATTCTTAATCGTCTCATGTACAGAATCGAACAATTTTTGTCTCCCCGGTTGCATGGTTTCATGCATGGAAGGAGCGTGCATCATTGCATTACCACCTTTCTCACCCTGCACACTGACAGCTCATACACTACCTTCCTTGACCTTAAATCCGCTTTCGTTGTAGCCAACCGACATGTAATCATTAGTGAACTTGCCAGAGTGGATGTTGGAGGATGGCTTCTCCGCTGGATTAAAGGCTACCTGTCCAACAGAAAGTCGTCTGTGTTGTTCCAGGGACATAGAAGTGTCACTAAAGACTTTGAATTAGGAACACCACAGGGAAGTGTGCTCAGTCCCACACTGTTCAATATTCTAATTAATGCATTACTTAATGTGACCAGGCCTCCTGGTGGATCAGAGCCTGATCAACCAGGCTGTTACAGCTGGCTGCACACAATCCAACGTACGAGCCACAGCCCGGCTGGTCAGGTACCGACTTTAGGTGCTTGTCCAGCGCCTGCTTGAAGACAGCCAGGGGTCTATTGGTAATCCCCCTTATGTATGCTGTAAGGCAGTTGAACAGTCTCGGTCCCCTGACACTTATTGTTTTGTCTTTTAACGTGCTAGTGACACCCCTGCTTTTCATTGGGGGGATGTTGCATCGTCTGCCGAGTCTTTTGCTTTCGTTGTGTGTGATTTTCGTGTGCAAGTTCGGTACTAGTCCCTGGTAGTCCCCTCTTATGTATGCTGGG